TTAAACTGTTCCTTTAAATCTTTTTTTTTTCAACATGGATGCCTTAATTTCAGACTTCACATGCTCGGGACAGTTAGAGCAAGGCCTTGCATTCCTAAAACACCCAACGAGGTGTTGTTTGTGGCGTGTAATTCATCCTTTTGTTATTTTACCACAAAAAATGCATGTCAAACTATTGTTGTCGGATTCATTTGTTAGTATAGCATATTTTCATGCTGGATCTTTTTTTAAAGATTAAACTGAATCTGATATTTTATGATCACCTAAAAGCAAACAAATATAGATAAAAGAAACGTAATATTGTCCAAGAAACATAATATGGGGGCTGCCGAGGGTCCAAGGGGGTGCTGCCCCCTGGCGGGGTTGTCGCTGGGTCAAGGGGCAGCGAGCATTTACATAGCAGTACCGAGTGGTAGAAAGCTTGTACCGAGTGGTACCGAGCATTTACATAGCAGTACCGAGCGGTATCATGCATGTACTTAGCAATACCGAGCATGTACCGAGAGTGTACCTAGTTGTACCGAGCTGTACCGAGTGGTACAAAGCATGTAACTAGCGGTACCGAGCATGTACCGAGCAGTATCGAGCAGTTACATAGCAGTACCGAGCGGTATTATGCATGTACTTAGCAATACCGAGCTGGTACCTAGTTGTACCGAGCTGTAACGAGCGGTACCGAACTAGTACCTAGTTGTACCGAGCTGTACCGAGTGGTACAGAGCAAGTAACTAGTGGTGCCAAGCGGTATCCAGCATATACATAGCGGTACCGAGCATTTACTTAGCGGTATCGAGCATGTACCTAATGGTACCGAGTATACATGTTAAGTTGTAAATTCTTGTAAGAAATAGCCGTGCAAAATAATAGAGCTGTGCGGAACAGACGGAGGTTGCAAATCAGAGTCAGCTGGTAAGATTTTTTATTGGAACAGACGAAGGAGGGGGCGGATTTGGCAGAAGAACTGCTCTGCGGGACGATTCGACGGAAACAACGACTTCAACTTCGGGACAGATTCGGCTGGATTCGACAAAAGCAGCGAATGCAGCAAACAGAAAACAGAAAACCTTCGACTTCAGGATAGATTCAGCGACCTCGACTTAGGGACTGCGGGATGTGTTCGGCGGATGCAGCAAACATAAAATCTTTCGTGAAATTAGGGCAATAAATAGTCGTTTATCTTAAAATATAGATATATTTTTAAATATAAAAAATATTCATAAGTATACCAAAATTTAAAAACAATTTGGCGCGCTATTTTGCGCCGTGCGCCATGGCTCACATGTGGCGCGAATAGCGCGCGCTATTTTAAACACATACGCCTCGCCATGAACATGGCGCTGTAGATGCGTCGCGCCTCGCCGTGCGCCATGGCGCGCGCTATTTTGCGCCATTGACAGCTATGATTATAATTCTCCATAATCGAATCATAATGAAATTTGTTGTGGCGAAGACAAGACGGCCATCCTTGGGTAACCTAAATAAATACATATACATTTATCTTGTTTTATATTCTTCATAACACTCTCCAGGTTAATAGATTTCGCATATTTCCCAACAAAACAAGCTACCTAAGTCTATTCTATATCTGATGCAAGCTAATTATAACATTTACAAACCCTGAAAACAAGGACAGTGGCAATTTGTACAAGGTATGCTAAAATGCTTTATCTTTTGGCAAGTATTGAGAAAATGTGTGCTGAAATTTTTATCAAGCAGAATTCTTTCAGCATGCCACCAACTGCTTAGAACACAATTTAACGTATAATAAATAACTTATTGTATATATACAAATTCGATCAGCAAGTCCTCTCGTGAGCAATAGCTTAAAGCACTCAAATTTTGTTTTTATAAGGCAATATCACCACCATCCTTTTTATAATTAATAATGGAAAGCATCACCACGTCAATAGTAAAATGGTTGCGGAAATGCGCTAAGAAACTTGAAACACTAGGCAAAATTAAATAATTTCGATACGAAGGAAAGTGCAGACGGCTTCCCTTTGGTAGTTCTGAGTCAAAATTACCGCGCAAGCATTCTTCCTCTTCTGTCGATCCTTTCAATCCCCATTAGAATTCACCAGGAAAAGTTCATATTCAGGACTTGAGTCAAAATTTCAGTCATGTAGGAATGCCAAATGAGCCAGTTAGTGCAAAGAAACAGTACAACCTAAAGGAGGAACTCTTTATGCAAACTACTGGTCGCTAAAAAATAACTAGCTACACCAACGGTCCAATTAGTTCATGGACCAAAGAAATAGAAGCTCATGTAATATCTAACCTGGACCGGCCAGTCCAAGAGTTCCCTTTTGACGAATCGGAGCTGCACGAACCAACCCCCCTCCCGCTCCTTTGCCCAAATCGCGACCAGCTATACTACAACCACCTTTTCGCACCTCATCTCTCTCTCCAATTGCATAAATCACGCGATTCATCCACCTTGTTCGATTTTTCCCGTTACCAACCTTCCCTCTTGCCATTTAACCAAATAGGAAGTTACGACATCTCTTATTCTCCTCTTTTCTCCCTTGTAGCAGCAACCGAAGGCCCTCCTCGCAGTTTCCGTTTGATTGATCGACGAAATCACTAAGCATCTTCCTCACAATCTTCTCTTTCTCCTTCAATTGTAAGCTCCTTCATCTTTTGTTCTCTCCTCCCTCTCTTTTATTGTCTTCTTTGTGTTTATCAAGTTGTATAGTCATGTTTCCTTCCCTCATTTAATTAGTTTTAATTTAGTGGAGATTTTATTTCAGTTTTATTTTATTTTATTAGGTTAGATTGCTTTAGAAAGAAGCTTTATGCGTGTTGATGTGCAAATTGACCAAACCCTATTTTATCTTGGATATTTTCAAACTTCGTTGTTTATGGCATGAATCTTGCAGGCATGGTTATTAATAGTTAATTTACGTTTGGGTTTGATTTATAAGTTTTATGTATCAAGCATTTGTTCCCTTTAGCGTCATCTTGAATGCTAAATTACAATTTATTATTTGTAGGACTTTTGAGATTTGTCCTGGAGGTATGATCGGTTGAGCATCCTTTGGCTTTGGACTTTGTGTCACTTCCTATAGGTAAGTAACTGTTATTTATTTTTGGTGTAAATATACCTTTGTTAGGGGCATAATCCGTGATATTTGTATTAGAATTCTTTTATAATTATTTAGATCGCCAGTTCTATTTCCAATATTTGTTAGTATTGAGCATGCCAGAGATCTTATCTACGCTTCATATCAAAATCAGGTGATAGAAATATTATTATTTGATTTGTTGATGTATGAGCTTTTAGCATTTAAAATGGTTCATGGTGTAAAAGGTTAAATTTATATACATTAGTTTTATTTAACGAAGTTTATGATTCTCATGTTGTAAATCATGTTGATTACATTAATTGTGGTTATAATGTTGATTTATATAACACCAGTTGATTCATTATAATAGTATTGTACTGTATGATTGGGTGTTTGTTGGTATAACCCTATTGATTTTTTGGCTAGTCGGGATTGACGGGCCGCTAGAGTGACGACTCTACAAAAAAGCACAAAATTTTCTTGGTTCTATGTTGTTCACGTCTTCCCAAGTTTCTGATTGGTGGTTATATGTTAAAATGTTAATTATATAATATATATTCATATATATACTATTAATATATATATTATATATATATATATATATTATTATATTTTATATATTATATAATACTATATAATAAGTATATATAAAGGAAGAATATAAGCAAACATGAATTGGAGGTGAATAAATTTATGTGCTATAGCTCATTTTAATGGTTATAATGATTACTTCTAGTGTATTGGCATGCTTTAAACTTGTTTGAAGTGATTTGTCTATTTCAAAGCTAGTATTGGCATAATACCATTCATGTATATTAGGATATGTTTGTAGAAAATCATAGCTTTTATTTTCTCGAATGTACAAATTATTATGTTACTTCGATTGGTTACAGGTGTTTAGTACTCCCCTTTTTTGGTGTCATTTTACTAACATGTCCATTGTCCTTTGTCGTTTATGGTTTGATAGAAAAATTGTCAGTTATCTTGCTGAGCTTGATTTTATCAAACTCACCCATGGTCTTTTTCAGCAGGTCCTTACATGGCATGCTATGGTTGGACTGCACCAATCAAAGGGGAAAGCAGGTGGTTTTTACCTAATACATAAACTTGTATTTTGGATTTATTATTTTGTGGTATGTTTATTATTTTTATTGTTCTGTGGGTTTAGTTTTCTTTCTTGTTTTTGCTATATGATCTTTTTGTTGGCTTGTATCAAAAACTATTGTCATTGGATGTATTGGTTAATTGAACTTTCTATTGAGTATTTTTATCTCATTCTTTTCTGTTTACTCTTTATATATATCTATTATTATTATTATATTTATATTTATTATTATATTATTATATATAGTATATTTTATATTTTATATTATATATATTTCTATTATTATATTTTATTTTATTATTATTATAATATAATTAATATTATTTATATAATTATTTATTATATATTATATATATATATATATATATATCACGTCGTATCTCTTATATATGCATGATTTCTTTGTGAATAAAAAACATGTTTTCTTATCTCTTAATCATGTCTCATACTGCCGGGATGTACCCTTCCGGACCCGGGTTGTAACAACTCCATCCAACGAAATTGCATTTAATACTTCAGATTGTAAATCAAGATTAGACAAAGCAAATGCCATTGTACCCTGATCTGTATATCACTTCAAATTTCGATTAGAAGGATCATTATTAGATATTACAAACAATATACAGCACAAAACAAGTATTTTTGTGGAGATTTATGTTGTACAATAAGCATATTATTATGCAAGATATTATCTGGTTTTGCCCAGTCCATCCCATATCAGGTTGAATGTCACCAGTTTATCCCTTTTCATATAACTTACTAGGGGGTGACTCATCCCATAAGTGTTATTTTACATGGATTTCCCAAACGAAATTCACACATTACACCAACCAATACTTTGTGTCTATAGCCGAATGCAGCACTTATATAAACCATAGCCCTTTCCTCCACTTGACATATGCGATTTGATTTTATGCACCCCATATTTCCTAGAAGTCAATCATTCTACAAGCCTGGCCAGAGCTGCTTCTAGTATGGGCCTCAACCCTGATAATCACTCCCCACCTCAACTAGCTTCTCTCTTTGGATTCGGTATGTCACATGCCGACAAGCTTCTGCTTGGTTCTCCTCTAAACCAAAAACTAAGATACCAAACTGAAACACCCTAGGCCATGCTATGCAAGATATTGTCGACTTTGTCTAACCCATTTCATAGTAAATTACATCTCATGGTTTTTTTCCTTTATTTGCGTAAAACTTCTTCAAGAGATCACCCATCCCAAAAATACTCTACTAAAACACACTTAATTGTGAAGTTCTTATGAAAAATCCACCCATTACACCAAAAGGCCCTTTGCATATTGGAACTAACTCTTTAGTTATACAGCTAATATCATTTCCTCCTATTCCAATGCGGGGGGATTTGGTTTATTCCTGCACCCCTTTCTCCTAGAAACCTAACATTCTAAAAGATTGCTAAGACTCGCTTCTTATATGGGTTTCTGCCACAACGATTACTCTTCCTATCCTCTTCGGATTTTAGATTTCACAGATGTACCGATGCTCAAATTATTTTAACTTCAAAAACATGTCGGATATCATCATAAGGATGGGTGCAGTCATAAGATGGATTGGTGGAGTGTATGACTCATTTTCATTCAAAGCACAAAAAAAAGTGAATTGATTGGTTCGATGATTACAGAGTTGTGGCATACTATCAAGTTTATGAATGTGATGGTATGCGACGATGATTACTCGCTTTAAATCAGTTAGCAGACATGATCTTTTCAATCAGTAAAAATACCATCTATAAGATCATAGAATTGGATTTTCCAGGAAGAATTTTGATAGCAAATCAAATGTTACTCTGCTTTACACATCCTCGAATTAAGGGGAATCAGCCGGCCACTCAGTTAAGCCAACTTAATAAGCATGGAAAGTATTCTGAATGCAAGAATACGTTTTAGATCTTAGATGGTTGCTGCCCCTGCTTGTTTCTTCATCCAGAAATCTGGCATGAGTCGTACTTAGAAACAAATTTATGGTAATTTCTGAATGACTGAACTGAAGCGCAGAAAAAAAAGGGCCAAAAAAAAAGAAAAAGAAAATTCAACCAATAAATCCAATAAAATAATCAACATATTATAGAACCTAGAAGGGCATAGAGAATGATAAAGATCCATAGTTGAAAGCAGCTTCACATTAAAAATAGTTACTATAACAAATACCTTTATGAGACCAGTTTGAGTAAGGCCAGCTTCAGTTATGAGAACGAGGAATTTAATATCATGCTCTGCTGCATATTCATACTGCTCAGTGAGACTTGGGTCCTCTAGTAGGACAAACTCTGCCTGTTAAACAATCAAAATTAATGGATTATTCATACTACATATTCATAATGTGCGATATATTTTAAAATTATGATAGAGACCTTCATGCTTGCTTGCCACAGTTCAGCAACCAATTCCATACGTTCAAGCAGTAGTCCTCCCCCACCTTTGGAGCAGACAAGCACATTGATGTTGAGCTCAATTCTGCCCAACATAACAGTGAGTCGATGTACTTAGCAAGTAAAGTACATTTATAAGTTAACTGATATATATATATATATGAGATATTCTACCTGGAGGGCTTGATATCTACCGAACAATGACGAAACACCTTCTCCATTGCAAGGCTGGTTCCAACAGCACCAGGAGGATTGGACCTCTAGAAGGTTAAAAAAAAATACGAAGTACCTTAAAATAAATTCTTCTGGAAAAAAAAAGCATAAATGTCTAAAAATACAATGTTTAGAATATACCAAATTTAAGCATTTTTCACCACTCAGACAAAAAGGTCAAATGAGAATTTAAGAATTATTATTAGATTTAAATGAGAATTTAATTCTTAATTGAATACACTGGAGAAAAATGCTTCATCTAGCCGACCCCACATAGTGAGATAAAGGAATGATGTTGTTGTTGTAGAAGACAAAAAGGTCAAATGCCTAAATTAATCTAAAATATGTTGCTACAAATTAATTCCATCTTTCGAATAGATGAGCTGCTAGCTTTCTTTTTTTTCAAATGTTAGACAAATTTATAAAGGAAAATCAGACCACTAATCAAGAGGGAATATAAAACTTAACTATAGAGAATATACATAATACAAGGTTATATTTGAAACCTAATGAATGGAGCCTCCAAACTTTCATTTAGTACGGACAATTAATTACGCCCTGTCCAAAAGGACATAATGGAGTCTCAGTACTTTCACTTAACATAAACAGTTAATCACGCCCTGTCCTAGAGGATGCGTTATTCTTAAATAATAAAGTATATCAGTACAACATACATTTTCGTAATTCCACTTCTGATGAACCAAATAGTCGTAGCGGCCACCAACAGCCATTAAGGTAGCTTCAGATACTGGAACTTGCATGTGATCTTTTAAGAATATCTGCATTTACATCAATAATATAACGTAATGAATACTGCTATCATTTACAATTCAAGTTTTTTAACATTTTGAAAACCAGAAATCCCTCTACTAATCTGAAACAGGGTTGACAAAAAAAAAAAAAAAAGTTTTGAGTGGAAAACTAAGAACACATGCTTCAAAAACATCATAAAACCAAAAGATTAATGAAATGCTTAACTTAGAGAGAACAGATCACATTATCGCTTCCAGTAAACAATTATTATAGATAATGGCAAGGCATATTTATACTTAATAATTGCATTTAATGGTAAAGCTTCGATAAAATCACTTTTTATATCACCATTGTTATCATCAGTAGGTTTCAAACAACAAAGGATTTATTAATCGTCCTCCATCAGTAACTGTAATTTTATCTGGCGCCAATGAAAAAAGTAGTACAAAGTTTTTTTTTTTTGTGTTCTTGATGACAAACCGACTTTGAATCTTGGCCAGATAGGTGGCCAGATAGGTGACCTGCTCCAACAATTTGATATTACATATGCTCCCTAAAAGTTCAAAAAAGGATATTCTTGCAGTTTTTCTCATTGCACATCTTACACTAAAGATTTAGCTCTCAATGATAATATACCTAATGAACAAATCCTGCCCAGATAAGAAAATAAAAACTATAAATATTAGAGCTATATTTTGACAAAGCATTATTGATGCATGCATATTTTAGTTTATTTTCGTTTTATTATAATTTGAATATTATGGTTTTTTTTATGATATCCAATGATGGAGAACATCTAATGATCATTAGTAGGTAGTGCTTGGGCATGACAAACCTTGGGTGTGCTAGCTTCTTGGGTTCTTTTGGTCTTTGGGCTGCTTGTTGCCTCTCGGGTTGGGCTTTGGCTGCTTTGGTTTTGAGCTGAAAATTTGGGAGCTACTTAGTTCTAGCTCATTATTGCTTGAGCTGATGTTTAGCTCATAATTTAAAGGAGTAATTGTACTATTTAGCTCATTAATTTGAAAAGGTTCTCTTCCTTTTAGCTCATTATGTGGAGTTGGAACTTGCCTCTTCCCATTCTTAGTGCCCCCCTCGGTTTCTTCCTGGTGCTCTTTCCCGTGGCTGGTTCTCCTCCCTTCACTGGGTGTTGGTTCCGGTCCCCTGTGCTGCCTTTTCGGTTTCTTCCCTAGTTGCTTTCCTGTGGCTGCTTTACCCGGTTCCTGTCCTGCCTTTTTCGAGTGATGTTCTGTTTTGCCTACAGGCCTTCCTCTTCCCCTTACCTGATTGATTCGATAGGTGGAAATTGGCTATTTGGCTCCCCCTTTTCTCTTATAAATTAGTGATGTATTTGTCATGAGGAGGTTGTTGATTAACTTGAGAAAAATTGTTAAAAACCTGAGGATTTCTTCTTCCTTGGAAAAGCTTGAGAGCTTGTTCCAATTCTCTCTTCCTCCTCTCTATTTCGTCTTGGCTTCTAATTTCTTCTTCTCTACGCAAGTTCCACTCTACTTGTATCCTTCTTCTTGAGCTTTTGGAGGTGTTTTTTGGCAGAATTTGGAGACATTTGCTAGAGGAGTTTGGTTGGACGTTGGACCTTATTACTGTGGTGGACCATTGGTTTGCAAGCTCTAAGCACTTATCATATTTACCTACTTTTCGTTGCATGCGAGGAAACCGCTTATTGGTTGTTCTGAGGATACTGTATTTATTTTCTAATTTTGTTTCGTTTTTTTCGTTTTTTTATTTTTTTGGTGTTGTTTGAATGTCTGCATTCTAGATTAAATTGAGTTTGGTTTCAATTGTCCCAGTGCTCTCCTATCTTGACTTTTCTTTCTAGTTTGCCTGCATCAAGTTTGGTATCAGAGCCAGGTTAGCAAATCCTTGGTTGGTGTTAATCTCTTTTTAAGAAATCTAAAATGGCTAATAATCAAGGGGATTGTCAACAAAGGATGCAACCAATGTTTAAAATTACGTATTCGGGTATTGAGGCGTTTTTCATTCGTGAGGCGAGGCGTAAGCCTCAAAATCAAAAGATTGCGTAAACATAAAATGATAAAAAATTTTATATAATAATGAGTGAATAATATAAAACATACAAAAATATAAGATATGAAGTGAAATCAAAATTTCCTAATAATAAGACAACATGAAATATAGTTCTATTCAAATTCTATCTTTCCCAAATTCTAGTATTCTTTTGATTAACATATAATTCCAATTTTCAAAAATAAATAGCAATGACATATCACATAAGAACTCATAAGTCATCAGTATTGCCATCACTATGGGGTTATTCATTTGAATCATCATTATGATGAACTGCTCTTTCCCCTTCCTCATCTCCTATAGAGTCCAATGTCAGGCATTTACTTCAAGATTATTGTAAGTTTTAATATATATAACGTGAGGCGAGCCGGGCCTCAACCAAGTTGAGACGCAAGCCTCATAAAAAAAACTCGAGGCGTAAGCATCGAGCCATTTTTTACTGGAATTGCGCAAAGGCGGGCCTCAAGGCGAGCCTCATATTGCGCAATTTTAAACGTTGGATGCAACAGTTAGCGAATTAGTAAAATCAAATGAACGACATAGCTAACACTCTTGCTAACTTAAATGTCAACCATCATAATATTCAAACTTCTGAAACTAAAGAAGAAATTCCTATAAACCAAAATAGACAACGAAGAAATTGGGATTATGGAATTAAAATTGATGTTTATAACTTCGAAGGTAAACTTCAACCCGACCAATTCATCGAATGGGTAGAAAAAATGGATCAATTTTTTTGAATGGAAATAAATACCTGATAACATGAAAGTCAAATTTGCAAGCTTAAAACTCACTGGGCATGCACTCACGTGATGGAAGAATTTACAAAACAATAAACTAAAGCGAGGAAAAGAAAAAAATCAAAACCGGGAAAGAATGAAAGAGAAAATGAGAGAATTCTTGCCATCAGATCATGCACGAATAATCTTTCAAGAATTTAATAACATGCGTCAAGAAAATCAATATGTTGAAGAATACACTGAAATGTTTTACAAACTCCAATCGAGAAATGACTTAGATGAATCCGAAGAAAGAACTATCTCAAGGTATATCAACGGTCTAAAATGGACAATCCAAGATCAACTGAACTTGCACCACGTAATTAAAATTAACGAGGCTTATCTTATGACATTGAAAATTGAAAAACAACATCAAAGGGGTCATAACAAAATAACTGAAACATATAAGCCAAGACAAACTGGTGGGATTAAAACTCAATCTTCACAAACTTTTGCAGGGACATCGAGTGTAAAAATTAAATCTTTTGAAACTCAAAATGTGGATAAGGGTAAGGGAATCATGGGGCCTAAACCTACTGAACAACCAAGACTAATTGGACCATGTTTGTGGACTTTATGGTCATCTCTCTACGGCTTGTAGAAGAAACAACCCACCAAGAAATAATTACATTGAAAATGATGAGGAAATAGAAGAAGAGGAAGTTAACAAATTTGAACCTGAAACAAAATTGAATTCTAAAAAGTTGATGTGGAGGGCGATGAAGGTGAACAACTGTTAGTAATCCGACAAGTTTTAACAACAAAAATTGAAAATGGAGATAGGTGGTTTAGGAGAAACATTTTCAAAATCACTTGCACGGTTGAGGGAAAAATTTGTTCGCTAATGATCGATAGTGGGAGTTCGGGCAATTTTGTTTCAAAGCTAATGATTGATAAGCTTAAATTGAAATCCAAATTACTTGTCAAACCTTATAAAATCTTTTGGTTCAAGGGGGTGAGGTTCCTAAAACAAAACAATGCACTATTAACTTAACAATTGGAAATTCTTTCAAGGAACAAGTTGTTTGTGATGTCGTACCTCTTGAAGTCTGCCATATTTTATTGTGTCGTCCTTGGCAATTCGATCACAAAACCATTCACAACGGGGAAAAGAACACCTAACTTTGATTCAAAATAATAAAGAATTCGCTCTTTATCCTCAAAAACATGCTGATCCGTCTGCCAAAAATACTAAAGTTGCCAAAATAAACACTCCTGAACTGCTTCTAAACACAAATGACTTGAAACAATCTGAGGTAGCTTACTTGGTATTAGGGAAAGAAGTTGATTCAACTCCTCAAATTCCTAAAGAAATTCAAACTTTAATTGATGTGTTTGCTGATATAACACCTGAAGAGTTGCCATTAGGTTTGCCACCGATGAGAGACATTCAACATCACATTGATTTAATATATGGAGCCACGTTGCCTAATCTTCCCCATTACAGAATGAGTCCAACTAAACATGATGAACTTTTTAAACAAGTGACTGAACTGTTAGAGAAAGGTTTGATTAAGGAAATCTTAAGTCCTTGTGCTATGCCTGCTTCTCCAAAAAAAGATGGAACGTGAAGGATGTGTGTGGATAGTCGGGCCAAAAATAAAATCACCATCAAGTATAGATTTCTAATTCCTATGCTGGATGACATGTTGGACATGTTAAGCGGTGCTAAAATCTTTTCCAAAATTGATTTGAGAAGTGGATATCACCAAATTAGAATAAGACCTAGATATGAATGGAAAACTGCATTTAAAACAAAGGAACTATTATACGAATGACTTGTTATGCCTTTTGGGCTTTCTAATGCTCCGAGCACTTTTATGAGAACAATTAATCATGTTTTAAGACCTTTTATTGAAAAATTTGTTGTGGTGTATTTCGATGATATTCTGATTTATAGCATTCACCCTTCTGAGAATTTTAATCATGTGAGGAAAATTCTGCAAACGCTGATGCAGAAAAACTAGATAGAAAAGCAAGATAAGGAGAACGATGAGCAAAGACTTTAACCAAACTCGATTCAAATAGTAGCAATCATCTATAAGCACAAAAACTGACGGATAAAACAAAAAGAGAGATCAAAAGAAACAAAAAAAATTAAAAAGTCGCTATCCTCAGAACAACCGACATAACAGTTTCCTCACATGCATCGAAATGTGGGTTAAGTAAAGTATGTGCTTATGGCTAACAAACCGATGGTC